AAGTAAAGTGCCGGTTTAAATGATAAGCACCATTTGTCGAGATTTTATTCAGTTTTTCAACGCTATCCTTTGGTACAAGTATCATTTTCCACGCATGTCCCATCGTCCCAACCTTCTGATTGAAAATTTTTTTTCTTGTTCGATAAACTCTGATTTTTATTAGCCAATTTTTTCAAAATTTTTTTATGTTTACACAAATGTGATTTCCTCAAATTTTTCAGGGGGATATTTAGATGCAGTAAATTTAGAGTAAATTTGCGAATGCAATCAATTAAATCTTTATTGAAAAGGTGTATTATTACTCCGCGAATTCTCGGCGGGGCGTGTAAAAGGGCATGTAATGAAGCTGTATTTTTTTTTTCAACGGACTTGCAAGCAGAATCGCTTACGGGACGATGTGTCTTCCCCATTACACACGACCAACTGAAACACGACGTAATGAGCCTCCTCCTTTTATATTATATTTCTTTCGCGGGACATGAATGTAATGGTAAGTGTCATTAGGAACGACGCTGGTGCGATATCTGCAATTTTCTGGCGTTAACTGCTTCAAGTCGAGCACTAAATACCCATATCAAAATAGGCCTGTTGTAGAAGTTGAGGATCTTCAAGGTATATCTGAAGAGCCAAATGAGCAATTTGTGCATGATCTTGCGGGTTTTTGCATACAACAATATAATTTGTATTCAATGAAATATCTCGCTGTTCATTGCCCTCATGGAATAGATTTTGAGATATAAACATAATACTGAGATTCTTATGATGACTACCTTTTGTGAATACAAAAATAACCAGCTAAGGGAGGTTGCTACCCTATTGGTCACCAACATTAAGCACAGGCATCAACAGAGATGCAGCATGATGTCTCCTGAGATATAACACAATACTGACTTTTCAGATATGAACTGATTTTTTTTTAAAGTCACAGTGGCCCAAAAGTAGTTCACGATGTTGGATCCAAATTTTCCGATAATTCTGGAGAGAATATACCACCTCTGAATATCGATTACGATTGGTTGAATGAACTTAATTTTCACTCATTTGATGGCTCTGACATTCAACATAATTTTCACGTGGACTTATTTGAAAATCTTGATCGTGGCTTTGTTAAGATACAATTGGGTGCTGTTGAAATTAGGCCTACCAATCCTGAAGAAGTTGAAGTCGTTGAAGAGTTTAATCTGGATTTACTAGACGAGCATTATTATGACAAATAAACTACATTTTAGATGACCAAGAGGCGTCCAAAAAATGGAATTAATTCTGTTCCTGAAGGGCATAAACCATCTATATGGGTGGAATAAGGTTTCCGAAATGTCTATAGTAAAATTCTAGAAGCAGGTGGAAGCGGTATGAATCGTATGTGTCTCACTTTCAATTTTGCAAATATCCAAAAAGATAACGCTTGGATGAGTCCACGCACAATTGACGGTTACGAGTTGCAGGATTTATGGAATCTTGTGAATTCTATTGCCCAAATTACCAATGGTTTTAATTAGGCTGACACATTTTGGATCAAGCTGTATGTCGCAGAAACCCCTGCAGGACAAGGAGGGTTTTTTTTTTTAAACGATGAAAAGGGATCTAAGTAGAAAATGTGTTCTGCAAATTGCCAATGAAGATGGTCTGTGCCTCGCACGGTCGCTTGTTGTAATTGGAGCACATGCCAACAAATTGACGACCCGAGCCGATAAGGGTGAGCTTCAGAAGACGTGGGAACTAATGCGATGCTCTAAGGGTCAAATGCAGCGTGAAGTGGCTCCACGTGTAACCCGTACGGCTACAGTCGCATTACCTAACGATGGTTAAGGTTTAGAGGAGGTTGCACAATTTCAAAGATATTTAGCCTAAGAAGGGTGTATTATTAGCATATATACTCTCAAAAGGAATGGCAACAATCGTCCTGTACTTTACGACGGAACTTCTCACGTGGAATGTGAAAAAATATACCCAGGTAGGAATTCAAAGGCTCGACGATGGGGCCAACCTTTTGCAAACCTTGTTTTCCCGAGGCTTGGCAATATGAGGATTAATACAGACCTGAACTGACCTTGACTTGTTGAGGGTGGGATATATTAGGCTGATAACAGGCTCATGTAAACCTCAACTAAATGAGCCTCGACGGGCGAGGTTTATACTCAGGCTTGGCCGAGGCTTTATCCATTCAGGCTAAGTTAAAAGCCCTTGGAATACATTGGGACAATTCTGGTTCCCTTCAGGCTGCTGAGTCCAAGCCTAGACACAGACTCGAATCATTCTTGTCTTGATAAGAATGGTTCATAACAAGGTGAACTGAGGCTTCTGTCAGTGTCAGCGTACTGGGCCTAAATAGCCTAAGCTTATATTCAGACTTGGCTGAGGCCTCGTCCAGTGAAGCTGAGTTATGGGCCTTCATAATATTTTGAATCTCCTTAGGCTGCTTGGTCCAAGGCTCGAAACAGATTAGAACCAGCTTTGGTTTCTTGAGGATGACTTATATCATGCTGAGTACATGCTCGGTTCAGTCTAAGCGCGCTAAGGCTGAGCATACTAAGCTTATCATTAGGCTCAACCGAGGCATGAATCATTGAGGCCCAGGTAAGATCCTTTGAAATACCCTGTGTAAATTCTGACTCACTTCAGGATTATTAATAATAATAATAATAATAGTAATAAAAATAATAATAACAAGAACAATCAATTCGTTGCAGATAAAACAAATTTGTGCGTATGTTCGTAATGAGGATTAGGAGTCACAGAGGAACGGGGGCCGGGGGGTTGATCGAGAAAAAGTAACTTATGTTAATAATGTAAATTAAGTAAATAGTTAGTGATGTTGGTTGAATTACACAAATAGAATGTTATTCAACAACATTATTTCTACAAAGTTGACATAGACTTCATAGGTACAATTGAAAATGACAAATCATAGGCGCGCGTTAGCTTAGTGGTAAGGCGTAGGTTTCGTAATGTTAGGGTCGTGCGTTCGAATCTCGGTTGCGGCGGTCAATTTTTAAGTTAATTAATTAGTAATTAGTAATTAGTAATTAGTTCTTTCCAATGATCCATTCATCAGGGATAGGTAAATCGGGGCGAAATTGACTTGTATTAGTACCTACAAAATAATCATTTTACTTTTTTTCATTATTTTGATCAATAATTTCTAGATAAATTAAAGGATTAGTTAACGATTGGATCAAGTTCGGATCAAGCTTGGTTCAAGTTTGGTCTCAGCTAGGACCAATGGTCAATTCCCACCTGGGAAGAAGCACTGATATTTGAGGCTCCGACAGTCTCTGCCTTTCAAAGTTTTGGAAAGCCCTGGGTTTCAAGCCTTCGACCAGCCTTGGGATCGAGGCTCTACCCCCTGTTACGATCCAAGGCTCAACAAAGGCTTTACTCATGGTCAATTCCAGCCTCAACCCGGGCTTGTCAAGCCTTCGCCGAACCCTCGTCGAACCCTCTCCCCATCGTTCATTCCTACCTGGGTACCTGCCCTATACATTACACATTGTGTATTATGCTGAAGGAAGACATTATGAGCCCATCCAAAATTTACCGTCATTCTTCGGTGCTGCATATTATTGCGAACATTGTAATACTGCTTTATAATACACGAGGACATGTTTACCATAAAATTTGTGATAGATGTCTGAAAAATCCTCGGTACGACTCTACTATTATCGTGAAAATAGTATGTGACGATTGCAATCGATAATTTCACGGTCAATTGTGCTTCACAAAGCATAAAAAAGTAGGATCTTTTAGCGGAACTGACCCAACTGGGTCTGCTATAATAAAGTTGTTTAACCAATGTAACCTAATAATAATTTTATAACGTTGGTGGAAAAAGTAGGAAGAAACGTAACTCCCGAAACATTGTAGAGATGTGTTGGGTCTTAGACTGACGTATTATTAAGCTATCAATATTAGATTTATCTAATTCCTACTCATTATCCGAGGGAAATCCTGATGCTGTATATTTCCTTCAGAAATAATATTTGTTATATTTTCTAACCATTCCATTTCATTATTGTAATCCGATTCTTTCATTACATTTACAGTGTCAATTTTATCGCGTGGTTCTTTAAATATTAAATGTTTAATTAGATCATTCGAAGTATCGATTGTGTTCTAGTACCTGTACTCATGAGACAGTGGATTAAAATGGTTATTATCATAGAAGTTAATATGTCCCTACCTTATTATACCTTGCCTTCCCCTAGATTTGTATGCCGATTAAATAATGTCAATTGAAATTTGCATTATGTGAGTAATCGGTCATTTTTATCAATACCAGAACTGATGATTGCAAAACTAACCATAGAAAGGTAACCACAGCAGAGTCTCACATTGGATAAATGATCTGGTCTATCAAAATTCTGTCATTAAATTGAAAAATTAAATTGCAAGAAGATTGTTATATACTTTTTTTTGATATTTATCTTTTTTCTTCAATTAATATTGTATCTGTTCAATATAATTATGCCCATAAAAGTCCTATAAAACACGCATTTTTAAAATAATCTTTTTAAAAAAATTATCCGAAAAGTTTCCAATGACTCTCTGTAATTATGAGCCCCGCTCCCGTCAACAACTGTGCCGTGCACGTAACAAGTGACACTGCTTGACTCCCTACAAGATCCAGCAGTACATTATGGAATCGGTTATCCAGTTACATAAAGATCAGTGCTCAATTGGCTGAATATAGCCACCCTAAAACCGTAGCCCGACGTTTTTAGCAATAATGATTATTAGGAGAAATACGAGTTTTGATTGGTCGAGAACCTCACAACTCACCTAGCATCCATTATGTGACAAATCGGCACCGCTCAAAGATATCAAGATAACATTGAAAACGATGCTACCTTTAAAAATTAGTCTAGGTTAAGCTCGAAAAGACACACTTTACACATAGAAAGCAGCGGAAATCAATATACTTTTTGATAAAAAATGTATATCTATTTCTGTAATATTCATTTTTAACTTGATAAAAATATAACAGTTTCTTTCATATTTAGAAAGAAAAATTGATGGAGATGTTCTCTGTCTTCGCCAACTACTTCATTGGAATAATTCTCCTTCAGAAGGAGTGGGTGCAACCCACGAAGATCTGGAGCACCGTCTGCGACAAATAAATCGCCATGACTTAGCCACCTGGCTGGGTAAAACTGTATTCAAGGAATTGCGTAGTGATATTGAAAAGTCTCTCAAGAAAGTATTCCGGCAGTTCGGTGAACAGGAAATCCAAACTCAGTTAAGTCTACTGAAATACTTCCAGCAGTTTATTTAATTTATTTCAATAAAGATATCCCATAACCTTAGAACCCATCCATCAGGTGGAGGAAGAGGATCCTTGGACTGAAGTCGATACGATTTTAATGATTCTACTGGTGGGGCTTGCAGGGTCTCTGATGCTCATTGTTTTATCATTGATCAATCATAGAGTGAGAAATTTTCTATTTCAGAAAAAGCAAGAAACATTGAGCAATTTCGACGAAGAAAAAGAAAAACTATTAAATAGTGACACTGATTAAAATCCCATTTCGTAAATTGAAACTTGTATTATTTGGTGGAATCATTTTGTAAATGGTAATTTGGCTGCTTTATAATTTTTGGACCTATCAAATGGAATCTTTCTCATCATGAAATACATTCACGAATGGGTTCTTATTTAACTCTTCCGCAGAAATATTTATTCATTTCAGCAAAAAAGTTTTTGACTGACGGGAACTAGATTGACCTTTATAGGTATGATTGCATCTGTGAAAAACGAAGTTCTTCATCAATACCAGTTTTAAGATTAAATGCGGTCGGAACAAAATACTTCGCTAGATCTGAATAAATGAGCAGTTTTTCGGAATCCATTAAGATTGACCAAAAGTGAGCCAATATAATGACAAGGTAAATTGGACTAAAAAATGTATTTGTCAATATATGATTCGTAGTAATTCGACCAAAATGTTTAATGTGTAATACTTCTACAATCGTACGATATATTCCCCTCAAATTAGGCATAAAATATAGAATATTTAATATATTGTAACATTTGAATGTATCTTTTCATCAGATAGATTGTCGTCGTGACAGAAAACTCTCTTGCATCAGAAAGTGGTTGAACCCTAAGAATATGAAATTGAATTATGTGATAAATTCTTAATTGTACATTGTCAAAATGATTGCCTTCATTCGCAATCAAAATTAAATATTAAATGAATGACTCTATTATGTTCGAACTTGGTTCATGAAACGTCAATCACATTCAAGGTTACTAATGTTCCACTGAGGAAGATCATAAAATTGACTGCATGTCAGTACTACTTTCAGTAAAGGCCAAATAACTAGCTAAATTGTTAAACTGTAGTCAATGTGATCTAATTGGATAATCTTCGTTAGGCCCCATTTGGCGAATGCATCTCGTAGAACGTCGATAAATACGTACCATTATTTTAAAGTGATTCATCTGAAAATCCAAAATAACGCATAATCAAGTTGTTAGCTGTTCCTAGCACTAGAAGACATATGAGTATTACTTTAGACTTTAGTTGTGTTTTTAATGTTCTTTTTCTATCGATTCCATTGACTGTGGGCTTCCGAATGGATTATTATAGAATATAGCTAGAAAAGTATTGAAGTCAAAATAATAAGAATATTTCGAAAATAACTATGTCCAAAATTACTGGCCCCATTGAGCTCATATGAAATAGCGACATTTACTAATAAGAGAGAAATATTTCCGCGAAATTTCACTTGGATATTTCAAGTTTGCTGAACGCCGAAGAGCGCATGACGATTCTTTTCTTCTAAGAAATGGAAAAATAAAAATATCTCAAAAACTTTGTTGATAATTAAAGATATAGGGCATCAAAAAGAATGTCTTGAAAAAAAGTCATACAGTTCGGTATATTCCCAGATATCCAAAAAGCGTAAACAAACAAATCCCTTTTATGCAGAAACTATTAGACCAATTCACATAACCCGGATCAATTGACATTTGAATTGTCCTCCGTTTGTTCATTTGAAGAAAGAGTGAGAACTGACAGAACACTTTGACATACAGAAATGGCGCCCAGAGTTCGTACCTTCTCGTACCAAACCATTTTCTCATCAGTTTCGAACAAAATCAGAAAACATTAATTTCAAACAATTGAAAACCTTCTATTGAAGAGTAAAAAAATGAAATTCATAGGAAAAATATAACATATACAAATACAAATAGTGGTTCGTGATAAATCGAACTTCAGTCAGCAATACGAACAAATTTAAAACTTTTCTTCCATCTTAGTGAAAAAATTAATTATATTCTAACGATTATCCAATTATTTAAATCCGCAGCCTAAAATCTACTCTTTGTGCAAATTTTTAGTGGATATCATAGTGGCGTGAGTGAGCTCATAGACACATATACGGTTGTGTGAATCATACATACGTGGAGCTATGGGCGCTGCGCCTGTTATTTACACTGCACGGTAGCTTTGGATACGAACATTTTGGAAACCATTGGAAAGCTATCAAGACATTCCAACTTCGTATCATTCAGAATTCCATAACCAATTATATGATCTCTATGGAATAATTAGTTCCCGAGAAATCGATGCTAGATTGTCGCAGGGTCATCGTACTTCGCAGTCTCACGTCGCCAGCCGTACATCTCTGTCTCACGCAACAGTTCGTGCGTGTTGCGTTTATTCCTGCGAGAGCGACAGAGACAAATCTGGACGTAAGACAAAAGGCACTGAGTTTACAGAGTACCTCGAAATTGGAATTTATTAATTTCACCCAAAAAATACAAAATCATATTTTTCTTTATTTCAAATGATTCTACTTCTACCTTGCGTAATATTACGAAAGGGTAGAGATAATACCCAGAAACAACAAATACGGTTTTTAAAAAATAAAAGAAACTGCGCCAACTACCTACCTTTAAATTGACTGTTTTGTCTGACAAAAAAGTAATGAAATAAAAAGAATGCTACAAGTCCATAAGTCTGCGACGTACTAGGTGATGATGTATTGAATCTTGAAAATGGAAGGTTGAAAGACAGAAATCGATGAGTTGAAAACCACAAATTGAATGAAAACGGAACAGAAGAGAACCCAAAAGTTCAACTATTCAAGAAAAAAACCGCATGTGGTGTACTTTCGTGGAAGACCTGGAGCTGCCAAGTACACCAGTGACGGTTTTTTCTTTGAATAGTTGAATGTTTGTGTATTAAAAAAGTAGTTTCTGAAACGCCAGATGAGTTTGTTGCCAATATTGGGACAGACCGGACTGATTTAGATGAGAGACGCTCATTACAGAATCCGTGATGATTACATCACTTCGGTTTTCATTAAAAATGATGGGTTAAACTTATAAAAAATTACGTATCAAAAATTACTAACTTTCATCACGAAATGAACAATTATGTGGACTCTTTCCACTTTTTTCAATAATCTATGGTAATAATATTGCTTCGAAAGAAGTCAGCAAAAATCAATTATTAGAGTGAAAAGAATGTATATATAGTTAATAGTTCAATGAAATTTTAGAAAAAAAACGAATAAATTCTTTTTAAATAGATGGAGTGAACTCATCAAGCGAATTAATAATGCATGAATTGAGGGTATGGGAGTGACATAAAAATTTCATTTTGAATACATGTTCATAGAAATTCCATTCGGAAAAAAATTCTCAATTTATTAGCAAAAATATATTGTCTATGCTTTGACGAAAGCGATTTTCCACTTGTTACATATTATTTCCATCTATTACTCGGATTATGAACTTGAACAATTATCTCTACAACACCGGACCACTTCGGAATTTCTAGACAATGTCCCTTTAAGGAACTTTTGTAGTAAGTAGATAATTGAAATTGGTATCAGAAGGAGATAATCTCCAAAGCTGAAATTCGAAAAATCAATTCTTCAAATAACTTGATAATTTATGCCCAATTATCGACAACGATCACATCGTACACGTTTCCTAGCTTAAGTATTGATAATTTATTATTCAGAATGTGTTTCAAATCATCACGTTGGGCAAGTGATACGTTGGAAAATCAAGAAAGGTTAATTTGCATAATATTCTTCCCAAAACTCACGTTTGTTGACCTTACTAGCAAACTTTTTGAATGGTACTCAGGACCTCTTAAACCTTTAACCAATGATCTTCAGATTTCGGCCAGACTATTACTTATTTATCTTTCTTTACTACTAGAGGAAGATATATAAATGAAGTACAGTAATTCTTTGGGTAATTCGATTTTTTAAACGAGAACTGTGAAGAATTTTTTGATTATGATCTTGTCAGCAACAGAAAAAGTTTTCAACACATTTTTATAATGCTGATCTATGCTTACTAAAAAGAGTTACAGTTTTTTTTTCTGAGAAAACGCGTACTGCTTCAGTTTAGAGATGAATTGTTGAAGTTCATAAGAAAATAAGATTGAGTAATTAGTCGAAATAGTTTCGAATCATAGGTAACTGGTATCACTATCCAAACCACTCTTTCGCACCATGAAGGAACGCACCTCGAAGTACCTCAAAATATGGCACCGAATATGGTCGTTCAAATGTGACATATTATGTGTAAAAAAGTACTTCTTTTCGTTACAATTTATTAATAATGATATTTTTTTTTATCGTTTATGAGATTAAAAATTATGTGGACACTCGAAGACCGTTGAAAATGTGGGTGTAGGCCGCTTCAATAGTTTTCTTCCAAGCTTCTTCGGTTTCCTCGGTGAATTTCGAACTCAGAGCTTGACGAAGGATATCCATAATTACCTGCTTAAGATTCTGCAAGCGAGAAAAATATATATTTGTAGTCGATCAATGAAAAGAGAACGCCTATTCAGAAGCTATATTAATGAATAATAAACGACATACACTATTAGAATTATTACACTGCATAATGAGGTGTAGCATTCGTATGCAATTTCCCTTCAGTGAATTATGTGATATGAATTGCATTTGATACCAGCAAGAGACCGTCGTTAAATTAAACACAACTTTCATATAAGCCCCTACCCGGCAAGTTAATAGAGAGCAAAAAAAATATTTCTAATTATAAGTAATAGATGTTTTTAATATTAATAGAAGTTCCATATTGGTACCTTGAAAATAAATATTGCTACAGATTTATGGTTTGTCAGTGAGTCGATTTTGAAATAATGAAATCCTAGTACTATCTGTTCTCAGTTCAATGAAAGGTAGAAAATATCATAACAAAAATCGTAGAATGGATTATTTTTGTACAATTAAGTCACTGTATCAGTTTAGTGCTTTATCAGAACTTCCCATGCGCTACAACGCTACTCGTACGCCCTGTAGACGGATACCCATTCTTATTTATCTTAATCTACATTTGGAATGAGTTCAGCATTTATCTCTTTTATTTCATGTCCGTGATTCATAAACAACAGAATTATTGTCAATCATAAGGAAATTGGGATTGATTGAATAAAGCAAAATAATCATTGCTAATAATCATAAAAAGAAAGAATTCAATGACCTACCATCTCCCGTTCTGAGAGATCTGAGCGCTCAAGTTTGAATTGTCGAGTGATAATTTCTCGTTGTAAATTGGGTGTGCTCTGTACTTTCGAAGAAATCGACGGAATTGAAAACCAAGACCGAGAATCCAGTGGGAAGCTTAATTACCAACGCATCAAAATTTAAATAACTATTTTGTTAAAGGATTAAAAGAACTATCGTATTGGGAACAACAGAAAATAATAATTGTAAGACAATTATTAATAATTTTTCAAACAAATAAATCTATTCAGAACGTAATTCTCAATTGATACATTTATTTATTGTTTTCTTTATAGTCAATATTCGTAACCTTTTCATTGAAAACGAATAAATGTCGGCTTACCAGAAAGTGTTCCGTCGTCTGGCCACGTCGTCTGTGTCTCTCTCCAATTGCCACAAGTGTTGCCTCAAGTAATCCATCGTCATTCAACGCATCTATAACCGAGTTCAATGCCGTAATGATACTGGCGCAATGTGCCTGAAATTTTTTATTCGCTGGAAGTTCTTCTCTCGGTACGTCCCTGAAAGCTGAGAATAATGCCTGATACTCGGGATATCGTTCGAAGAATCTGAAGAAAAAGAAACAAGAAAAATAACTGTAAACCAAACTCAGAGTATATTTATTCCTTGTATTTTTTTAGAACGCGCTCCGTTACAAGAATACATCCACCTGAATATTGCCTGAAGACTGCTAACCTATTCGATTAGAAAAAAAAATTGATGTCAAAAAATATCTCATGCCCTGGTACAATCTAAGCGATGCAATGATATAGTAATTGGGGATGACTTTGATTATGCTAGAAATAGTTTTCAAGGTGATCCAAAAACACAGTGACCTAGCCCTATTCTAAAAGGGAGACGCTTGACACAATCCTTTATCTCGAAAATCTCGAAATCATGAAGACACCATTCCTTAGTGTTCCACCTAAAGTAGCGCGATATTACAAATCCGTAACTCTCTTATAGACATCGCTCATACCCGCGCGCTGGCACGCGGTACGGTCTTCCGTACACTAGCACGGGATGGCGGATTCATTTACGAATGAACAGTGAACATGAATGACGGGGCAAGATGGATGTAAAGCATATAAAACCGATTCGTTAGGATGAAATAACTAACACATTATTTGTAAGACGATAACGCTAAACTCAAACTACATATTTTTTTGTGATTTCAATTAATTCCAAATTTGATGATGATTCATTCATTCTTTAGTTGGCGCAACGGCAACGCGGTGTCAGTTTAGCATCGATATAACCTTGATAAAATTCATTCATTCAATTCCAAAGAAAAAAATATTGGTACGTAGGGCGAAAATTTAACTACGAATCTATACCAAAAAACCATGCCCCATTTAATATAATTATAAGGTACAAAAATACTCATGTTTCGTAACTTCATCAAATTGTTGACATTGTACGCCCATTTCTGTGTGCGCACCTCAATCCAACACGGGCGATGTGCACTGGGTTTGAATGTATGTTCCACGCAATCATGAATATTTATATGAGGATCTGTTATTCCTATTATATCAATTAATTTCAACACCCTGACAACTAATTGAAGGGTTTAGAAGATATGTGATATGTTGGTATGTGATATCAAAAAATTATGATATAAATATTCACGACACCGCGAAATGTACATTGAAACCCATTACACATCGCGTGTGCTGGATTGAGGTGCACGCGCAAAAACAAGACTCATGCACGTTATAATCCCCACCTTCGACTCGGACTATAAAGCCGCATTCATCAGATTCACTTTTTCTGTCCTAGGCGTGAAAAATACTATTTCTTAAAAATTTGAAGCCATTTTGGATTATTTGATTTTGTTAGTTCAGTGGACGGTTATTCACCATGGCGCTTGACGCCATTTTCGAGTATTTAGATCTCTCGCTTTGAGTGATTTCGTCCGCTAGAGATTTTATAAATTTTAATGATTTTTTTATTTCACCAGATTGTGATTATTTTCCGAGCTTTTATCCATGTTAAAAATTCGGTGGTTTTAATTGACTCCTGCAAAGATTCTTGCCTTCGAAATTGATTTCGAAATCTATTATTGCCTCAATTATTGATTTTCTTTTGTTGGGCAAATTCTGGAATCTCGAGCTCAGTGTTATCCTCGAGGTTTTAATCCAATGTTTATCGCGGCTTGTGAAGCCATAATTATTTCTGACTGAAATGATCAAATCTTATATTTTATTTGGCAGCATTGAGAGTCGGTTTGCAGCGTCTTTCGGCGCTCGAGTTTGTGTTTTTGCCGGTAATCCTTTCCGTTACTATCGGCGTTTGTTTACATCTTCTTGAGACATTCCCCCTCTCAATGGCTTTACATACACTCTTCCTTACTAGATTAGTGAACACGCTCGTTTCTCGTGATAAACTACATAGATTATAAATTCCTTCTTTATTTGAATTCTGACTTAGCAATTATACAAGCGTTTTACGAACTTATTTAGAAATCTGAACTTTAATATTTTTGTTTTACTTTAATTTATCATTTCTGACCAGTAATTTTACAATTTAACGTGTGACTAGGGAATTTGTTAGTGAAACATTTGTTTCTGACTACGTAATTTATTTTTTTTTCTTTGTTACCGAGAACAGAGTGATCTTTCGATTAGGGAGTAAATCGGGGATTTTCAATTTCTTTTGTTTTTTTGCCATTATTAAAAAAAATTTTAATATGATTAAATAATTTTGTTACGCCGCAGTTATTGAATTTATCTGTTTAAAATAACCGATCTATTTCAAAATCTTAGGATAGTATTTGAAACCCAGTCACCTCTACAGTTGTTATCCTGACTGGTCGGTAATTATATTCTTATTGTTGTTCATTTCTTTCGATTTTTTTGGCTGTCTTATTGAAGACATCCTGGCGCCTAACAAGTTGTCATTTTGAGTGTGGTCGCCGGGGGATGCGTATTTTCTTTCTTTCTCCCGCGGAGTGCAAAATACATCACAACATATGGAAGATAAATTAAACTAATCATTATCTGCTAAACCGACGGTAGTCGCGGTGCGGTTAGAGTGTTCGACTGTAAAAATTTATAGTACTCTAATCACACAGTTTCACTATCGAACGACAGTCCTGTTTAAAGGACGACTGTACCAGGGCAGGTATTCCCTTCGAATGAGGTTTTTCTCTCTCTTTCTGCAAATGGGGTACAGGGGTTGGGGGTGTGACGGAAACAAAGCATAAAGACCTGAAAAAGTATACGTGAAGGAAAAAGTTTTTTTTTAATGAACTGATTGAATTTTAATGAACTGACATTTTATATTTTTCCCAATGTTCAATGAAATAATTATTTACTATTACGGTGACTAGGAAATAATCAATTTCTGACACCATAATGTGTTGAAAATTACTCCCGGTATAACTAAGAATTGTTCAAGTTGGATTGGGGAAAATTGGTGTGAATTGTTAGGCAGTACGATTTTTTAAGTTTTGAGGGAGAGCACGCGGCGCTCTCTCTGTCTAACAACGCCCCTCTTCGTGCACGCTCCTAACCCCACTCTGACTACGCTGGGTCTCACGGAGTTTGGGTATTGTTTTCCGAACAATGGGTCTAATAGGGTTTGATAGCCCGGGCTCCCGAGGTTCCGATTTTGCCCATGCCTGAAGTAGAGCATGGGTTTTTGGTATATATTTGTAGTTCAATTTTCGCTCTAGATGCCGATATTTATTACTTTGCAATTTGATGAGCTCAATTGACGCGACTGAGATTCTTGCCGTTTAGCGCACAGAAGTCGATAATATTAAATTTATTTATTTATGTTCCCGGTTGAACAGCGCCTAAACATTTTTATATGTTGTTCAGTGAACTTTGATGCCTCTATTGGCGTATTGTCATAGGCAGCTGAATAAATTCAGGGTCGAAGGCTACACTGACTGAACTATCAATTTCAGGTCAATGTTACATCACGCTGAAAAATTACGTATATGATAAGACATTGCTACTTCAGCCTTGCTTTCAGTTTTAAATTGTGTTCTTTACTCTAAATTTCATAACCAATCGTTCGTTTTTTGTTATATCGACCTGTTATTTTAAATTATCGTTAAGAAACGTCTTTGGAAAGGCTTGCTTGCCCTTCGACGCGTTCGCGAGAAGGAGAATGAACCATATTTCTCTCTCGCTCTTGAGCAATTAATTGAAATTGTTGAATAATTAATTATGATTAACTCCTCCATCAGGGCCATTAACGGTCATAAATTAGTAGAAAAATAAATTATTATATGTTGTCGCTTTGTTATGTGCTGCTATTAAGGCCGTATTGAATTGCTAAAAAATCTGCCCCCGTATCATAAAATAATAAAGCAGTGAACATTGTCCGTGAAAATTCACCAAGCGCTTATTAAAGGATGCAAACAAATTTATGAGTTTTAACTGCGAACACGGTTTAAGGATTCACTAGATAGTGCATGATTTCTCTTGAATAGATTTTGTACTACTTGTGAAAAATCATTGAAAGATACTGGTAGCACAGCTCCATGACTGTAGCAATCACCGAATGATCGGAATTATCTTGTTATCTACCATTTCATGAGAGAAATGTAATGCGCCGTAATGACAGCTCCTCACATTCATTCGACCAATATAACGTCCTTCGTCACGAACAGCTCTTGTCTTTCAATTCTCGCGGTATCTTCTTACTCGATCCATTACAGACATGGGTAATCTAATTTCTCTTCGCATTTTCATGCGTTTTTTCCATTGACTCCGCCTTGTTATTTATTCCCTGACGCGATTTGACAATGTTCTGCTTTAAAGAACATAACTGTAACAAATTTTGAAACCAATTAATCCGTCTTACTATATATATATAGTATTAGAAGGAGCTGGACATAGCCACTACCCTCCGAAATGTATATGTATAATATATACATATTTATTAAATTAATATATTTGTATGGATTAATGGAACCTCTTAAAACCTTTTGTTTCGCCATTCATTTTAATTAATTTAACTCTTGCTTCCATTTCCGCTTATGCTTTCGGATCGTTTTACTCCACTGTATTAGCAATTTCCCATAAATTTTTGATTCTCATGATCATTGACCTCTGTCTAATCTTATATTTAAGATCCAGAAGGAAACAGGCTTGACATCCGTTCCGTCTAGTAACTGCAAGAATTATTACTTTGCTTGCACTGACTAGGACCAAGCTCTTATATTCAGCTCTATATATTGGCAATCAGAAAACTATCATATCATAATCCTATCCTGCCCCGCAGGATACTAGCCTTTGTCCATAATATGAATTTTAAGATGTTTGACAGACGTATTGTTCTGAAACAATCCATTAAACAATACGTAAAGGCATTCTAGGCATGCAGAAACGAAGCCTTTCAGGGATCTTTCAGAGACTCGTGTCCTGTCAAAAGGACGACTGTACCAGGGTAAGTGTTTCCCCTCTAATGAGCTTTTCTCTCTCTTCGGCAAATTCGGTACAGGGGGCTGAGGGGTGGTGAGGGAACAAATAGTAAAGACCCGCAAAGGTATACGAGAAAGTTTTCTATATTTTTTTCTAATTACAACTTTACAGCATTTACACATTGTCTATATACTTTCCAATAATATTGGTACACTGTCTTTTTTTTTAAAGTGAATATTTAAAAAAATGGTATAAAGCGCATACAAAAGACAAAGTGCGACGGGGTGCGCACCGCGCTCGGTGAAGAATTTTCGATACTAGAGATGAACGCGCGCTACGCGCGTATTATTACTTTTGTGATGCTACTACATGAGTTTTCATTTCATTTTTCAACGATAGATATATAAGAATCGGAATTCAAACATTCAGATTCAGACTTTGACCTAGAATCAGAGATATTAGAAAATGGAAAGGTCCAAAGCACGAAAGAAAAAGGAACCAATTTTAGAATAAAAATAATATATATAAATCTATATATATACCGAATAAACTGGCTTCAAAAAACGATACATTGGATTTTTTTTAAAGGGAAAAAAAATACATCTCCAGTCGGCTAAACGTGGAACAAAATGACACTCAACCACTTTTTAGGTCAAGTTTTGTTGAAAAAATTAGAGGTGGGAGACTAATTTTTCTGATAGAATTAACCTGCCTTCCGCGATTGGTCCTTTGGAGGTCTTATTTTAAGTGCGACAGTCTTACTGCATACGTATCCTCAAGTTCCGTGCAATATATGACCGCGCCATCGATGCGTAAAAGTCGTATGAGTGTTATATGCCGCACAGCCATGAGAAAAAGCCGGAAATAGTCATCTCCTCCTTAATTAATATTGAACGGGTCAATCCCACAAAGTATGGGATGCTTGAAAAACATGCAATTTAAAATGTTCAGGAATTTTCCGTTTTCGGAGTTCGAAGAAGCGTAAGTCTAAATGGAACTTTTCTGTACTTTAAACTGCTAGCGCCTTTAATGTCGAATATTTCAAATTTTTAATCGTCTCTCTATGAAAGCATAAATTTTCAAAGCTACCTCTCACTCTTTTCTTGTATAATCAATTCATTCTCAAAAGTATGCCGACTCCCGTTCCTTTATCACAAAAGAGATTGAAAATGAATGATTGTTATCATTGTCAATCTTGTATTCGTCCTCCTATTGATCGACGTATCTGTTGGTCATTTCCATGGCTACAAGGATGTTATTGAGCGCTACAGTGGTCACTTAGAGGTAGAGAACGCACGTATAAAACAAATCATTTTGCAGCGAGAAAGAGTTGATGTGCGCTCAACTTTTCACAGTTCAGCGACTCCAGTTTCCAAATGTATCTTTTCCGACTACAAGTTTCGGCATCGGTGAAGAACATATAATTTCCGTTAGTACACGATGTATCCAAATCTCAAAATTGCATATAAATTACGTAGTTTGCTCAATGATTCAGCTAGTATCTTATCAAAGTATGATCAGTGTCCGACGTCCGTATGGATAATTAATTTTGCTTTTCTTCAAACCTGCTGTATGCAACTGGCTTTAGAAATAAAACTTTTGATTGGTTCAGAAAATTTAGACGGTGATTGCGACGGGTCGTCATTTGCATGTCGTAAAGTGTAAAGGCAAATATTGCAAATGTTTCAGTAAAAAATAGTATATTGGGCATTAAGGGTTCGTGTTTTGCGGCCTGAAGAGCGTGATGAAAGTGAATACTTTCCGTCCCAGTGTGGAAAGTTGCCCTCAAGGGCGGGATTGGTATATTATACATTAAGGGAGGAAAACAGTGCACAGGGCGGTTTTGAATATCCTCTTTCCCTTCCCTTTTCAACACATGTGCCCGGAAGGTTCACACTCTGCTCCCTGAGAAGCGGAGGCAAACTGCGTACTTCTCGCCCTCGGGTAGAAAGGTGCTGCCAAGGTCGAAAAGTCAAGACTTTTCTTCCCAACGAAGTTTCCTTGGCAGGTAAGTTGAAGAATAGCATGTGCGCATCGGCAAGGCAACAACTGACCTTCCGCCCTTGATGTGTAATATACTATTCCATTTAGATATGAAAAGTCTTGATAGGCAAAATTGATATCCGAGCCGAAGACAGGCACGTGGGAAAGAGTAAAATACTATTCCATGGCGTGGCTTAGTCGTATACCTCAAAATTTCACCGATTAAAAACACATTTTCTTAAAGCTCAATCCCTAATAAAACCAATCCTCAATAAAATATTCTAATATTTACAGCCTTATTAAATCCAAACATTTCCACTAATTTACCCCAATAAGCGACCCTTATTTAGAATATTTTTACTTTATTTTAAATGAATCCCTGCAATCAAGCCTCAAATAGTCTCAATCGTTCTAATCCTCGAGGTGCCAGTCCTAATTACTGTACTCTAATAAAACGATTTACATACCTTGGATCCTTCCAGATCCTCGGACCTAAATGACCCCCCTGAATCACCAACATCCACCCTCTATTTCTACTCCAACGAAATAACAATTACGTGACCATCCGTCAGTATCTCTTGACTATATATGACCATTTCACCTAAATTTAGCATTACTTACGAAGTAGTTTTAGGCGCGACGATATGTCCTAAGAACATTGTAGTCAGACTCCACAATAGTGGATGAAGTTTGTATTAATTTGTGGAAAAAATTCAAGTTTCCGCGGGTCTCGAACAGCTTTAAGGAAATAGCAGAGATAAGGTTAAGAAGATTCGGTTGCACGCAGAGGAGTGTTACATGGTGTTCAATCTTGAGGAGATGTTTTTCTTGTTCTTCTTTCATTTTGCAGTATGCTCTCCGCTATCATGTTATCACGACTCTACATAGCCACATCGCCTAGGAAAAAGGTAACTGAATATCACCTTCATCGCAGTTTTCATCGCCAGCCCATGAAATAACACTTCACACCGCTAGAACTTTGCTTACGGTCCAACTACTGAGAAATATTGTTCGATACACGGTTGTGAAATACTTTTCTATCTCATGTAATGATGGAGCTCGTTTTCGGCTCGTCCTGTAACCTCACATTAGCCACAGAAATTTCGCATGTACCTCATCGTCTTCTTCTCGCATTCTTTGACCCCTTCTATTGTAGCAATAATATTGGTAAACGTAATAAACCGCATTGATCCGTTTTCCATTGTGTTACCGGTGTAGGTGCAGCTCTCGGCCGTGGTTCTCGGGGCTGCTGAGCTACATATAGTGTACTTTCGTTCGACCAGTATGCTTTGGCAGAGCAGCGGAGAAGAGGAGAGGATCGTTAGGTTTTATAATGGCACTCTGGCTAGAATGACGATTAATTGAGAATCGATAGTGACCCAGACAAATGGTATTTTCGGTTTTCGTCCATCGCCACTAATTGGATATAGGGTAGGGATAGGATAGAGGATATGGAATATTACACATCAGATAAAGTGTCAGACTCATTTTAGATGTAATGTAACTAGAGCCACAAATCAAAAGAAAAAGAAGTGGTCATTTTAGATGCTGTAAAGTAAACATGACAAAAGAAAGGGTATTTTTACTTTTTTCTCATCGAGTCAACTCCAGCCGTAGTTAATGAATTATTACAAGAATATCCAGATTAAAAACTGTAATGAAGGCAAAAAATTACTTACAATGTCATTATAGCAACACCAGAGGCCACGGGATCCTTACTCACAATAACCCACGTATTCTGCACAAGTCTTTTCTCACGTGCAGTCATTCCTGTAGAAGGATCAACAATGTCCGGTGCACCGGACTGGCCCCAAAATTTACTCCAAAATGTTCCCATGATTTTTCAAACTCAGTATTATATCTTCGAATGGTTGCTGTGTGCTATCTAGAATTTTTCAAAATGCCGGTCAACCATCATGATTTAATGATGCATAATATTATTAACCGTTGTATTGGTTCCTCTGGGAAATATCCGATTGGATCAAATTACAGAATTTCTAATCAACAAAGTTTGATTAAAGAGGTCGGAGATTTTTTTTATCATACACTCGTACAGTTTGATACTTTGGTCTCAAGGTTATCCAGAAATAAAAACTCTTCTACCAGTGACCGTCGCTATCTCATAACATAAAGAAAAATGTGATTGATAATTCGAAAAAAATAGAATCAGTTCTTATTTCGACAAGAATCGGCTAAACAATTTGAAACCTTCATCGGATTTCTAAATTTGGTTCGCCTCGAAATTGGCATGAATATTATTGCTGAAGTAGTTTATTTCTATAGAAAGACCGTAAGAACTCACTGAATCTTCGTCTACTATACTTTTGGAATCACGTAAAGGCCTTATTCAATAAGAAATATGAGGAATCACAATTTCATTCCGTCAATTAATTCATAACAAATTAATCACCAAATATAAATTATGAGAAAATTCAAATAAAACGAAACGAAAATTTCCAAGATGATGAAGCCCTCAGAAAGTATACTGACGAGATCTTCACCAACTCACAATCCGGGTGCTACTAGATTCATCTTTCAATATAATGCTACACGATACCCGCTTTTCCTCTCTCTCAAGGGTCCCGCACACTGCGCGTCGCCGCGTGATTTGAGAGTGGAGTCCCCTTCATTCCGTTCTATCGCACATCAACGATCTCTATTTAATTTAGCCCAGACCGATGCGCTGGTATCATCTTGTTATAGGAGAAATGAGTAAAAATTGACTGAACCAATGAAATGATTTTTACGAAATTTTCATTGACAAATAAATTATAGAAGGGCAATTAAAGATGAATAGATTTACAGTTTAAAGTAAAGGAATTGCATCATAGACCGCGTGCCATTGAGTCGAGAACAAATATCATTGTATGCAATATTTTGATGAATAAATGAACAACGTATGGATAAAATTGCTATCCACTTAACTCCAGTGCATAATTTTGAGACAGAAGCAAGAATAAACAACATGTTGAATGCGATCGATGAATGTACCTTAAATAAACTACGAAAAATTCAATCAACGAAAGATTAACCATAAAAAACAAAACGCCAAACGAAAGGACCAATGAAACGAACGAATGGCCTCTTATTTAAACAGATGTAGAAGAATGGACTCTCTTCGGAACGTCGCGGATAAAACATTATAAGGTATGATAAAGATGAAAAGTCCAAGGAAGCCCCAGTGAATTTCAAGGCGTCAGTTTTTTTCCATATTTATTACCGAAAAAGATAATGCTGCGGAAAATTTCAGGTCTTTATTTTGATTTCTTGATTTTTATTTGAAAAACGTGTTTTTCAAGAATATGATTTTTCTTATTCGAAAAATTGTTTAAATATCTGTAAACATTCTAAAAAATCAAAAACACTTTGTAATTGTGGAAAATTATTCTTTCGTAATTTTTTCTTGTGTTATGTCAAGAATGGGTGACTGGACATTAACGTCGATCTCTCGTTTGATACACGGAAAGAAAAATACCGGAAAAATTACGGAACTTTCTCGTATTCGTGGGGTGACCTTGGTTTTCCGGGAAAAGTACTGTAAGTTCCGTAAAAATTTTCGTAGCGAGCCGGAATTTTTACGAAACTTTCAGGACAATTTTACGGTACCTCTAGTACTTTTTCCTGAAAAGCAAGATCACACCACGAATACGTGAAAATTCCGTAATTTTTCGGGTATTTTTCTAACCGTGTAGGAATTTTAAATGAATGAACGGTTGTTTAAACTTTTCCGGACTTTTTCGAGTCTAAACTTAAGGAAAACAACACAAGAGTGAAATGTTCCACCAATAATTACGTGAGAAATCACTTAATTCCTTTGAAAATTAATATCCTTAATAGAGGTTCTCACACAAATATAAATTGAATTAACAGCTTGACACAAAATCATGACGATTTGTACACTTTAAGATTCACGAACGATTTATCTGGTAAAAGGTAAGAAAAATATAGATAAACTAGTCATGAAAGGACTTAGTTTCAAATAAAATGAATAAGGCATGAAGTGCTTATAAAATCAAACCCTTGTGAAACTTGGATGATTATAAGAATACAGTTGTAAATCTATTATGAAATTTGCCTTGAAAAAGGCTACCTAAATGATTTGAATTTGAGTGAACTGACTGGATCCCTGTCGTACAAGCATTTTTAAATGCTTGCTCTGAGGGTTCGCCTCAGAAAAATAAGGAGAGAGAATCAGTGACCAATGGCGTATGACCTCCAGTTTCCCTCTCCTGGCTTAAAAGTCCCAATGTTTCCCTTCAAATTCAAAATGTCTAGTTAATTTATTTATTTCTTAAATTACTAAAATTTATAACTAAGATTATTGATTGTAGTCTCTTACTTTGAAACTTAATTGGCCAGTATAACAATGACTAAAATCATTGAGTTGTATTATTGAACTGTATTCTTTTTAACTTATCTGAGTTGAGGTCTATCAGAATAACTACATTTTAAATCTTCGATGACAATTCTCATCCGAAGATTAAAATGTACTGAATATAATTTATTTCATATATTAATTTACTTAATTTCTTAATAGTTGTAATCTGAACGTTCAGAAAAAAAAAGATTTATTTACATATTTTTAATGATTGGAAAACCGGGAGAAATAGGATATTGTGCACCATGGGAGGAAAACAGGGCATTCCAATTGGGGGTCTCAAACGGGTTTGAATGTCCTGTTTCCCTTCCGCGGTGCACATTGTTCTTTCCGTTATGGCTACACGGAAAAGTTCGATTTTTCTTCGTAAATGAAGGGAGGAATGTGGGTTATGTTATCCCGAGGATGCTCAAAAACAATAGAAATCCGAGGGAGAGAATAGGCCACTATTCATATTCTTCTTCCCGTCATTTGGGGAGTAAAATCGAACTTTGCGTGTAGGTATGACGGAAAATACATTTGAGTACATCAAGTACCTGTAGATTGTCCGAAAATGTTATGACTGTCATCCGACCCTTGAACTGAAATCAGAAGATCATGGTACAGTTGAAATTTTTACCCTAATTCCCTGTTTTCCAGAGTGGAGATTTTCTTCATAGGGCGAGCCCATGTGTACGTCATGAAAATGAGAGAGATTACCTTGCTGGACATTAACAGAAAATTTTCGATGCATGGCCTAACCCATGTCCATATTTTTATGACTTTTTTTTCTGTGAAAACTCGTAGGTTCTTTTTATAATGATAATTCCTTTCCTATAGATGTTTCCTGAAAAACACCTGTTTGTGCTATTCATATTATTGCTGTTTGAACAGAGATATGGATGTTATTGAATTTTCGATGTCACACTCGCTGAGCTTTCCTGTGTATTTTTACATTTTTTGTTAAGAATTACTACAGAGATCATTCCTAGAGTGTAACTAACTCGAAATTATAGATATATATATAGACAAGAGAATGTATGGAATGATTACTTAAATTGAATATCAAGTATTGAAGTCAAAAATAGATTGATACGGATTCATTTGATGTTCTCTCCACAGAATATTTAATAACGTGATTTTTAATCATTGTCAGCAGGGACGATGCCCTTTTTAGAACAGAGGTTAATTTCTTCGGTAATGGGGAAGTATAGAGGCCTCTGAATAGAAATTAATTCCAACGATAATTAATGTGTTACAGACACGAAATATAAAATCTGTTTACGAAATTCTGAAGGCTAACCAAAGTAAGTAAAAGGAAGTATAAGCTGAAGAAACCTAAAAAGGTGATAGTGCAACAGTATAACAATAAAGTGAGCCAGAGACGGATCAATATTTTCTAAGTCTAAGTTAACGTTAGAAAAAATATGTCTATTATTTGCGACGTTCTTTTGTGTCGATAGAGTCAAAAGGAAGCACACTACAAAAGCATTTATCATTCCGGTAGCTAGGAGAGATTTCCACACGTTGAAAAAAAATATCGTCAAGCATATTAGAACTACAATTCTAGTAATGACGGACTGCGGGAGGGGATACTTGAGGGATTACGTGGGTAAATAGTAGAAATGGCTTCAATTATTACTGCTCGCACTTTCAACAATGGCATCTTCGATTTATTATTGTTTTTACACTCGCTGGATATCAAACTCGGCCGAAATAGCCACGAGTATGCCCGCAACGATGAACATCGTATACTCATTGCCGAAAAAAAGGGTGATGTGGAGACGCGAGAGGATAGGATGCGTCTCGAATAAGAACAGAAGGATGAAATCGATATTGCAGCTGCTGCAGGATATGTTTGCTGTATGGTGCCGGAATCGATGACTCTATGTAACTTGAAAACAAAAATTTACGTTTTATTCCTACTTCAATCTGTGATCGTTTTTTTCTCAAAACATCGTTTTTAAAGTCGGTGATCAGGATTTCTCAGACACTAGTGAAGCGATCTTATTGAAATTTGTCACAGCTCTTCTAGATAGGATAACCTCATGAGTGTTTGAAGAATGTTTTTTTACATTACAACCAATTTTTTCAAGGCAATTTGTTGTAAAAAGTATACCCCAAATCATACTGTTTTGTTTGAAACTTTGTCAAATACTCGTTCTTGTTTATCAAACGCTTCGATTAATCACGACGTATTTTCATCAAAAAATTGGCCAAAATAGGCTATTCTTCGGACGTCACAACCCATAAAACCCCTTAACAATCGTGGATATCACCACCAAACAGTAAATCGCAACAAAGGATTCATTAGCAAACAGACTGGCGCGCACACTCAACAAATTGGAATAAAAAATTCGCAGTGCGGGGGAGGGGGGGGGGGGGTGTTCGTCACGCGTGTTTTCTGCTGAAGATGTTGTCTACAAGATACGATGTTCGTTTCGAGGGAGTCGTGTTGCCGTGAATGAGTTAGAATAATAACTGATAACGAAGTAACAACATTAATGGAATTAAAGTGAAAACATCTATGAATGAAATATCAAAAATAGATACACTGGAATTTTAGACATTGGAAATAGTATATTATGCAACACGTGCGTAATATACTTTTTGACTCGTGGGGGATTTGTAACACGAGCCGAAGGCGAGTTTTACAACCCCACGAGTCGAAAAATCTATTACGCACGCGTTTCATACAAAATTTTATGTCATCGCGCCCGGAATCCGCGATTTAATCGAGCGAAGCGAGGTTACAATCGCGCGATTACGGGCACCGATGGCATAAAATTAATATAAATAAATTTAAACTTATGTTAATTCCCAAGGAGGGGGCTAGAAGAAGTTCTCATTTTGGAATGACTGCACCACCACGTCTTTTACATGACTCTTGGGTAACGGTAAGGGTGGGTGCATTCGCGGAGGATCTGCGCCTCGGGGGCGATGTCAGTTTTCATCTCTCATGGTAGGGGGGTAGGAGAGTTAAAGCACAAAGTTCCCAGTATTGTTTCTCACTTATTGCAGGGGTTTATGTATCGCCTATGGATAATCATATTGATAAATTGAAAAATTCAAAAAGACGCCATATAACCTATCTACCATTTCTCCTTCTTAGCTGACCCAAGTTTAGGCTAATTTAAAAAATTATTTTTTTGTATTAGTGGTGTCAAGCTTTTTTTTTAGGTCTGCAACCACTACAGCAATCT